TGCCAGTGCTGTTTAGTCTTGAGGGCATTCAGTTTAATGTGTGTTTGCCACAGGGCTGAGATTCATTTCTTTCTTCTTCCATGTCTACTAAATAAGGAATTTTCCGAGGGGCGTGCAAACGTTTTTCATACAACTGTATAATAAGGAATTTTCTGAGGCGTGCAAACGTTTTTCATACAACTGTAACTTGCAAAGTTTGAACAGGGTGTAAACTCTCACCTCCATGCCATCCACATCAATACGAGCCCGGACACCGTACTTCTGACCAATCAGACGCAGCTTTGGAACGCAGTACAGCAACCTGTCATTAAACTGCAGGAAGAGAGAGATGTGTTGTAATCAGTGTTTCTGCCCAGCCAGTAAAACAACAGAGGGCAGCACAGGGGAACAGGTGAACAGAGTAGAGGCCAGCACCGTACCAGTATGAGGTATCTGTCCTGTGTGGTCCCGTTCTTGTTGGACAGTTTGAGGATGTGTCCCTCTTTAATGAGCTCATTAGTTGGGTTCACGATGTCTTCTTCTCCTCCCAACAACTCATACACCTTCAACAACTTCCTCATTCGCTCCTGCCAGAGAGACACAGTTAGAGTCAGGTCGACTATCTCATCACCAGGCCCGGGGATGGACTGGCAGCCTGACCACGCCTCTCACCCAGTGTCGGCTGAGGCTGTGGCTGTGCGACCCACCCCACCCCGAACTTGGACCTTAAAGCCACAAGGCTGCAGTGGCGCACAGTTAGAGCTGAAGTAAAACTAGTGAGAAGCTACACGTATGGACCACAAATATCATCTGAATATCACTGACAGATATCTGCATGAATAGGATTCTAGTCCAGAGGACGGCCTGTAGTGTAGCTTTAACTGAAGGTGACGAGTGGAGTGATGAAGAGCAGACGAGGAACACGATGGAGTCAGACTACACACACAGTGGCAGAGACTAGTTATATTACAGATGAAATTAAAGCTGGTGGCTGAGTTGCTGTGTGCTGTGCTCTGAGCTGTGGCAGACGTGGGGACTGTGGGTGTCGATGGTGTGAAATCTCACCATCTTCCTGATGGCAGCGTTGGAGTGCTCAGCTGCTGTGGCGATCAGCTCCAGAGACTCTGCACACAGAGACGACACTCGTGTTACTGGACTCATGTTTGTGTCCTCAGAGACCTGATGCACCAGCAAGTTAGATCCAGGATGTCCAGGGAACCCATGCTGACGCTGCAGCTTCCTTATTTACTTCCTTCCTTGCTCCTTATCTTCTTTCCCTTTGCAGTTCCTTCATTACTTCCTTACCTCCTTCCTTTTTGACTTTCTTACTTAGTTTATTGCGTCCTTATTTGCTTTTATACTTCCTTCCTTCCAACTTAATTTTTACTTCCTTAGTTTTTACTTGCTTTACTTGCCTTTTTCCTATTTTCTTCTTTAGTTCCTCCATTCAGTTTTTGCTTCCTTCCTTACTGTGACATTTACACTGAGTGAACAAAGTTTAAAATGTAAAGTCTAAGGAGGGTCTGACAGGTGGTTCAAGCTCTGGGAAGGTACAGGTTACAGGTGGCCACGTTTCTGCAGGGGATAAAGGCCGACTGTAGCCAATGAGTGTGTCAGTGATGTGTTGTTCAAAGTGAGTAAACAACATTAGCACCTTAATGTTAGCATAGAAAGCATGGCTGATGTTGGTGTGCATTTGCTTTTCATACTCTGGGCGTCCCTGCAGTCCAAAGCATCCTCCGGCAAGCGGTGAAGATAATCTTTGAGCAGCAGCTCGTAGCGAGGGATCCTCTGAACCGGCTCCAACATGTGATGCTGCAGAGTCAGGTTACCACAGCGCTCCTCTCTCTGCACAAACACCACAACCACACATTACAACAAACAAGCAACAGAACTCAGCAGCTGGAAGACAAAGCAGCAGTGTCACTGGACCTGTACCTGGATCTCCTGGATGATGGTCTTGAACTGAGTGGATCTCTCCATCCAGGTGTTCACCAGCTCCATGGCTCGGTCAAAGTTCTTCACGTACTCTCCATACATTTTCAGGAAGGGAGCCAGTTTCTGCAGGATGTCCCCAATCCGTGGGTTTGAGTCCCTGCAGACAGAGGAGGAACAAAGTCAGAGCAGCTCCTGAGGAGGAGGAGAAGAGAAGGAGTAACAACCTCACCACTCCTCCATCCGCTTCTGCAGCGCCGGCAGCAGGAACTGCTGATGGAAGCAGTAGATGGAACAGATGTTGGAGAAGATTCCCTGAACCACATCACAGGGGAAAGAGGAGCGAGAACGAGCCTCCTCCAGGAGTCTGGCACAGAACACCTGCAGGAAGACAAAAGGGGCCAGTTATATATGAACGTCCTTGCACCTTCCTGTGTACCGGCTCTGAGGCTCTGAAGTGGTGCTATGCCTTGGTAACACGATAACAGTCAATGTATACATGTGATCAGCCCGTGCCACCCCCGTCACCCCTCTGCAGGAGGGTAGCTCGCATTTACATTGCACAGCTGAACTAGTTCCCACAGTCAGTGCTGTGACGTTTCCATGGTGACACTGACGGATCAGTGGTGTGAAAGTCAGTGACAGATAACAAACACGACAATGACTGAAGAAGAGAAGGACAGCGAGCGGTGGTGATCGCTGGGCCAGATGCTGCTCAGACTGAGATCCAGTTCAGGAGACCAGAGCAGGACTCACCTGGTCCAGCAGGTGCAGCTTTGAGACATAGGCAATCTCTGTGTGCAGCAGCTCGTTGGCTATGTTGAAGACCCTCTGTTGGACAGACAGCTGGACAGAGACAGACACTGTTATGTTCACAGCTCATTAGTCAGCGTTCAGCAGTCCTGCAGTACTCGGGAACATATCACAGTAATGTGGCTATTTGTATTAAGAGAAACAAAGTGACTACAGACGGTGTGACCGCATCGTCACGTCTCTTTATGTTATCAGGAAACAGCCAAAGGCTCCGGGTGGATCAATCCATGTGACATCAGAAAGTACATCACAGATGTGTCAGATATGGAACTTTGTGTTTCTGTTTGTGTCTCTGAAGTTGCCATGTTGTAGTGAACTCACCTCAGCAGAGTCCTGTCTATCTGTTTTTGTGGGGGGCAGCACCAGTGTCAGCTCTGTCTCCTCCTCTTCCTCCATGTCACTGTCCCCCTCCTCAGTGAACTCCCTCCTCCTCCTCATTCCTTCCCTCACCTCCTCCTCCTCCCCCTCCACTCCCTCCCCAGCATATGATGATGAACTAGAGAGGCGAGGCAGAAGGGCAGGGCTGCAGGGATAAGCCACGCCCCCATCATCAATGCCAACAAAGCACAACTCCTCGCTGTGTGACGGAGAACTGATGCTGTCGATCCCGCTGTCCCGATTGGCCAGCTTCCCATCCGTCTGTGATGAGGGGAGGGACAGACGCTCGGAGGGGAGCTCTGATTTGTTGAGCAGCGGCGGCTTCTGATGTTGTTGCTCCTTCATCTCCATGGAAACCACATCGTTCTCTAGGTGTTTCTCTGAGGGGCTATAACCTGACTCCATGGACAAACGCTTCTGATGGAGGTCATTGTGACAAGCTGCTGCCAGCTCTTCATCATCTTCATCATCATCATTGGGTGGGTCAGTCTGCCCTATCTCCTCCTCACCCTCCAGTGTGATGTCATCATGACCCATGATTTCAGACGGTGGCTCCTCATCAGGCAGGGGAGGACCAGGCGATGATAATGATGGTAGAGATGAAGGTTGGGAGGAGGGGGGGTCAGGGAGGCGGGGACACAGAGCACCCCCACTGATGTCAGGAACCACAATGATCTGCTCGCTACACACATGAACACACACACAGAGTAAAATGTAATATAAACAATTGTCATGACATCATTCCTCCTCAGACCAATCAGAACTCACCGCTCAAACTTTTCAATAAGTGATAGGACGCAGGTGGGGGAGGCGGTGCCATCAATACGGGTGGGCAGAGTCCGGCCCCCTTTGGGGTCTGCTGGGATGGGTCTGCAGGGTGGTGGAGGGGGGAGAGGCTTGTCTGGAGCCCGGGGGCGTGGCCTCGATACCCC